GTGGCCAAGTACGTCGGTTTGTGTGCGTCATGCCAGCACCGAAAGCGTACCATGTCTCCTCCAGCGGGGCCGTTGCAACCTCTCCCGTGTCCGTCCACACCCTTTGAATTGGTGGGCATCTATTTATATGAACCACTCCCTCTTACTCCCACCGGGCACCGTTGGATTGTTACTGCCGTCGATCACCTTACTCGAAATGCGGAGCCGGCAGCTCTTCCCTCTGGTGCTATCTACGATGTCGCCAATTTTATTCTGCGTGCCTTGATTTGGCGCCATGGCGCTCCACGTGTGCTCCTTAGTGATCGTGGCAAGACATTTTTTTCCCAAGTTCTTGCGCAAGTCCTCCAGGCATCATCCACAAGACCACATCAGCCTACCATCCGCAGACGAATGTTCTGACAGAGCGTCTTCATCGAACTTTGTCCGATATGATCTCGATGCATATTCAACAAGATCATAAAAACTGGGACCCTTTACTTCATTTCGTCACATTCGCATACAATACTGCCATACAACGTACGACGAATTACAGTCAATTTTCCCTCGTGTATGGCCGTTCACCGACTTTCGTTCTGGACACCAACTTTTTGTCCACGTCCTCTGCTCCATCTTCTTCTTTACCAGAAGAGTATTCTGCTCGCGTCACCCATTGCCGTGAAATCGCCCGCACCAACACCGCTACAATTCAGGACAAGAGGAAAGTCGGTATTGATGAGAAACGACGGGTTGTTACATTTCGCCCCGGCGAGGAAGGGCTCCTGTGGACACCTGTTTTTGTACCTGGGCTCTGTGAAAGATTCCTTCACAGGTATCTCGGTCCATACACCGTCCTGGAACAAACAATTGATGTGGATTATCGCGTTGCTTCTGTCAGCGCGGCTCCTGACCGTCGTCACCACAGGACTGAGATTGCTCATGTATCTCGACTGAAACGAAATATTCGGCGTGCCACCCTCTCTATCTTGCTGCCCTCTTTTGCGAAAAGGGGGGGGGGGATAGAGTGAACGCTGACTATTTGCTTCATCATCTTCATCTGTATACCCCAAAACCATTGTAATCACCATCATCGTTAGACGCGCGGGCTTCGCTGCTTGTGGCTATCGCGCCTGTGCTGAAGAAAGAATACAACGGTCGTTTCATCGTACCTGACGTTGTCTCACAATATATATATATATATATATATATATATATATATATATATATATATATATATGGTGGGGTGAAATTCAATGGATCCGGTGGAAAATGCGGTAGAAAATGAGGTCGACAAACGTGCGAAAAAACACTAGTTTTACTAACGTTTCGGCAAGTGGGCCTGCCTTCGTCGGAGTGAATGGTTACACATGGCACACAGGGCACATATATAAGCCGCTTCTTTGCGTATTACACGGCTAAGTCATTATCAGTAGTTTAGAAAACAAGATTATATATCACCAAAGGTACGCGGCTATAGTGCATATACAGCTGAAAACGCGTATCATTATACAATAGTGAATTGGCACGTATTAGATACCCTACAACTTGTGTGGAATGAAACAGGTCAGCAATTCCGTGCCAATTCACTATTGTATAATGATACGCGTTTTCAGCTGTATATGCACTATAGCCACGTACCTTTGATGATATATAATCTTGTTTCCTAAACTACTGATAATGACTTAGCCATGTGATACGCAAAGAAGCGGCTTATATATGTGCCCTGTGTGCCATGTGTAACCATTCACTCCGACGAAGGCAGGCCCACCTGCCAAAACGTTAGTAAAACTAGTGTTTTCTCGCACGTTTGTCGACCTCTTTTTCTACCGTATATATATATATATATATATATATATATATATATATATATATATATATATATATATATATATATATATATATATATATATATATATATGACAGAAAGATACTTCTAATACTACGTTTTGTGCCCAAGTATGCCTAAATTGTAAATAATGCTTTGACGGACAATGTAATCAGGTCAAATGCATTTACGTAGATCAACCCGAAAATAGCGACTCGCGTATAACATAACCATTTTTATTTGTCGAATACCCAAGTACTCATTAGTGGCAGAGATTATTAAGAGAACACCACGTAACGAAGAATGAAGTAACATTAAGCGATAGTTCGTGCCTAGCATCTGAAGTTGATAGGAGCACCTGAAACGCCTTTAGGGGTAACATCTCTACGTGCCACAGACAAAATGACATCATCATCGGCTGATACGCACGTGTCAGGATAACCACGACTAGCTGTACGATTCGGCTTTAACGCCGTGAATTAACAATAATGCTTGCTTGTAAGCGAAAAACAATAAAAATTTTTTGGAGAAGGGGCGTTATTACTAAGTGGGTTTCTCGGTTTCTGTATAGTTAAATGTAAAACTTGACGATGAAGGCACGCGTAGAGGGGTCGATTTTTGTGGTACATTGGTAATTGCTGTGGTCGAGGCACACATATTGATCTGGACAATAAATCATTGAAGCTTTTGGAACTCGACACTTGTCCAGTGTTTTACATTGTTCACATCAGCGAACGCACAGGGGGAGGGGTGGTCGCACCCTCCTATCGAAACCTGTGAGGGGGTGCAGAGTCTGCCCCATGCATTGACTTAATAGGGAGGGTCGACGAAGCTTCACCCCCCCTCCCCGAAGGGGAAGCCCGGGCACGTGTATGACTCCTCGTTCAACGTTTCTGCCACGCTGCGCTTCAATAACACTAACTAGCACAGGACTCCGAAATACATGGTAGAATGCGTCAGTGCTTGTTCATTTTTGTTCATGCTGGATCAGCAATATGAGCTCATAATTTTTTGATAGACTCTTCAAAACTTTGATAATAACTGATGATATCAATTGCGCAGAACTTTATTTGGTGTAACGTTTCACTGTCTTGCGCTTTTATGCACGCCCAAAACGAAAGCAATTCATTATTAGACGCTACGCTAACGTTTAGGTTATGACGCCTTTTTTTTGCTTCTTTTTAGTACTATAGTTGTCAAGCATATAGCGTAGATTTCTGGGAAAGTTCGTTCATAGTAAGAAGAAACCAGCGAAAAGTCACACGAGGACATTGAAGAACAGCCGTGCATGACAAGCGCTGGACTTACAAGTGAATGCTCATTGCATAATCGCGCACACAACCTCCATCCCATGAAACAGCAGCGCATTCTTAAAAAGAACCATCTGATCCATGCTTGGCTCAGATCTCAGTGTTTGTGCGGTTTTTCGATGGTTTCTTCTTCCTAATATAGTTGTAATTGGCGAAATGTCTTGGTTTTTCGAGCGTATGAAGGTTCTTGCGGTGACGTCATAGACGCACAATGGCCGTGACGTCTTGGCAGCTATTCGAAATGGCGACTTAGCTGACGTCAGGGCAGTATCACTGAACGATTAGTCAGCTTCAGTGTGATGCTGACATATCTGGGCTTCGTGCGTGAATAGCGAAAGAACAAGCATGTGATATAATGATGACACTAACGTGACAACAAAAAATTATGCGTCCCACCTTGTTGGTGCTCCAACATAACAGTTTCAGTGACGTCAGTACAAGCCATCGATTGTTGTTCATGGTGAATTACCCCGGTGTTTATTCAAGCTAGTTTCTTAGTGTCTGCAACAGTGTTCCATTTGCTACATAGCTCGCTTGAGTTGGCCACGAAGAAAGAAAGCGCATAGGAGCACATACAAGAGGCATTACTAAATTTGGATGGCTACATGCTGGAATACACGGAAAGAAAGATGCAGAAACACAGTACTCTACCTGTTCAAACATGAGGGAAATATACATGGGCGTTAATAAAGAGACCTGAAAGGTGTTTGAGAAACGCGGAACGGGTGAAAGGAAAGAAATCTATAACTCTACGCGGGAAGGCTCGACTATTTGATATCCATGTTCGATTGTACTACATTTTCGCATCTTATGTTAGGCTGCATAACATTTCATACCCTGCCCGCCGCGGTGGTCTAGTGGCTAAAGTACTCGGCTGCTGGCCCGCAGGGCGCGGGACCGAATCGCGGTTGCAGCGGCTGCATTTTCGATGGAGGCTAAAATGGTGTAGGCCTGTGTGCTCAGATTTGGGTGCATGTTAAAGAACAACAGGAAGACAAAATTTCCGGAGCCCTCCACTACGGCGTCTTTCATAATCATATGGTGGTTTTGGGAACGTTAAACCCCGCATATAAATCAAATCAATCAACATTTCATACCCTTCTTTTGATTGTATGTTTTTAATTGCATACTTTGTCTGCTAATCAGGAAGGAATAACCGACCTCTGGAACTGAACCGACCTCTGCAATGCATCATTTCAATAAAAAAGTAAGGTGTGGATTGTGGAGAACGAAGAAATGGTTCATAATCCGGTTGATATTGGAAAAATAAACGGAGCTTGATAGGCTGTGAAGGGTAGATAAATATTGATATAATCAGGGACATTCATATAACTTTGTTACAGAACTTCATGAAGAGAAAATTTAAAACAGAGCACTAAATATTTCGGAAAAGAAATGCAGCCCGTTAGGATGCCGCTGTCGTGTTGATAGATGCCCCAGGACCCGAAGACACTAACGAACGTACAAAAGTTTATTGCAGCACTGTTGGTTTATTTGGAGCGATGGTATACCATAAGGTATGTACAGAAATACCGCACTGTTTTGCCCGGTATGTGGCTGTCTCACTATGCTAGGCCTGGATCAGCCACCGCAATAATCGCATGATGATACCTTGCGCATCAAGTAGTTCGAGCACCTAAAACGTTTTTGGATCGATGTACATTTCAACACGGAATGGCTAAGACCGTAAAATGACACGATTACAGTCGCTGGGACACCTTTCTATCAGAATGAATTGAAATATTACGTGTGCAATACGGTGTGCTCGCCCCACATCATGAAACCATTCTCGCGCTACGAAAGTTCAACTTTTCGAAAGTCAATATTTACAACTTTTTGCTGAGTAGTGAACTCTGGCTTCAGGCGTGGTTACTTCAGAAAGAAGGTGGTAGAATAAGAACAAAACCTTTATTTCGCGCATGCATTGCTTTTGCAGCATGGTGCATCCATTCTTCTGAGTGTGGGTATAATTTCTGACAGCAACCGTCGCTTGATCTTGCCGAATCCACTCCTCGGAATGGCGTCAACGAAGAAAATACCACCATCTAGTGGCTGAGCTGTGGGAAGACGTTCTGCAAAAAAAAAAAAAAATACGGCGTTATTGCTGTGTACAATTGCACTGAGCTCATTTATTTAATATCCACGGCAAAGACCTGCTGCAACACTTGTGCTTCAAAATAATTACATCGCAGCCACCCAAATTAAAGTTGAGTTTTCTGATTAATAGTACGGCTTTCAAGAGGCCAAAAGGAATAGAAGCCTAAGCCCAAGAATGGAAGAGAAGGAATATAGAGAATGCAGGTAGGTTAACTAGACTAAGTCCAGTTAGCTACCCTACATGTGGAGAGAGAAAATAAAGTGGTAAAAGAGGGAGAGAGAGAAAGAGATACACATTGCACAACATGAACACACATAGTACAGGGTTCCACAGGCAACAATACTGAGCGACCGACTGTTAAACCCTGAAGCCTTAGGAACCTTTTCTTTCAATATAGCTGGAGGGATGCACCATGATTATATCCGCTTCTTTGAAGGTACCGATGAGGTCGCTATGGAAAAAGGTGAACACTAACAGTGCGCGGCTGGAACCAAAGGAGGTATGATGATGAAATTATAGCAAATGTGGTGGATATTAGGAACATCTGCGCGAAGTCTCACATGAAGGATGCGCTATGCAAGTTCCTATTGGTTGGCGGTGCAGTGGCGTCATGCACGTAACGCCTTAGTGCAACAGTGAAATGGGAAACATTTATAACAGTCGTTGATAAAAATGCACGTTTGTTCATTCTTGCTGAGCCCAGGGCTCAGCAACATCTTCAGGTGGAGGGCCAATTGACAATAAGCCCACAGAGTGGGGGGCCGGATGCGGAATCGAGGGGGATGGGTTGGTAGGGGGCTTCGCAGGTGCAAAGAAAAAATGACAAATTGGCACAATTCTACAAAAATTTATTGAAAATCACGTTTACTTTGAGCACGCCTGTCACGGACCCATAATAAAACATAGCTAACAATTAGCGAAAAAGTCATTTTAGGTCGAAACTTTCATGTTGGCATTTTATATATGAGAAGGGAAAAGTTGAGGGGCTCTACGTCGTCCTGATCACCACATAAAACTGCCCCATGGGCCGCATGCGACCCACGAGGCAGTTATATGTGTCACATTTAAAGATTCTAGTTGGAAACAGCAAACCTCGCGTCCCTTAAGCCTGCCTATACTCGTGCATTGAATCAATCTAATTGTTGAAATGCTGTGTCAACTGCGCATCACTGTCGTCTGAGTGGCTTGGGTATATCATTCGACGTAGCAACGTTTGCTGTATAGTTAACAATGGCCACTTTGTTTTTGAAATGAGCCACACCCACATTAGCAGTTGTGAATTCCTTCAAGTACCTAGGACCTCACCTGTCTCAACATTTCTCTTGGACGGATCATGTAACCCACAGTATCAATGCAGCGAACAAAATGCTTGGTTACTTTCACCATAATCTTCTCATGGCACAGTCACGCGTACGATTACTTCCCTATATAACATTCTTGTGGCCTAAACTTGAAGATGCCTGTGCTTCTTTGACCCCCACCAATAATATCTCACTAAATCTCTCCAATTGGTCAAGATTCGCTCCGCTAGATTTAATCTTTCTGAGCGCTCGTATCACACAAGCGTTTAGTCTCCAACGTCTAAACTGGAGCTATAGTATACCTCTTGCCTCTCGTCGTCGCATCTCGTGTGCATATGCCTCTACCACAGAATCTTTCACATCACGTCTCGTGACAGGCGGTTGATTCAACTGACTCATCGTACGTCCCGAACAGGCCACCTGAATGCAGTAATTACACGCCTTACCCGCACCACTACATTCCATCAGTTGTTCTTCGTCCGAACTGCCCGAGTTTGGAATGGCCTTCGAGGAGATGATGCACTTGTCCGTGACCCAGCGCGCTTCGTGTCTAACTATCGAACACATAGTATAAATATGTGGAACTTCTTTCTTCGTACTTACGTTTTTAAATAGATTTTCTTTTGTATTTAAAATTCGCATTTTCTTATTTTGTCTGTTGTTGTTTATTGTATTTTTTCGCCTTTCTATTTTTTGTTCTTACTTCCAACGCCCACCCCTCATGCATTGTCTCTCGGGACCCTTGATGTACTAATAAATAACATGAAATGAAATTTGAAAGCAAACTGTAGTGCTGTTGAGCCTGAAGACGCAGGTGTGATTCCCGGCCGCGCCGGCCGTATTCTGGGGGGGAGGGGGGGAGCGAAATGTAAAAGAACCAGATTACACAGATTTAGTTACGCGATAAGGAATGCCATAAATTCATAGTTAATCCGGAGTTCTTCTGAGCACTCGTATTCGGAGTGCCTGAATAGCAAGTCATTTTCTTGGCAATTAAAAGCCGAGAAGCTACGATAGAGAGATTTTCTACTGTTATTCTGCTGTCGGATGGAAAATGAAGGAGCGTCATCAATGTATTTGCTATAGTGAAGAAGAGAAATTGTTCAAGGAACTGATTTGTTTGCAACACACGACCGAATTAATTCAACATACGAGTAAGTGTCAGAAACCATAGATGACATGTTTTGTTGGTTTTAATTATATTTTGCAACTATGACATCACTTGATAGCATTTAGAACGGTCAAAACCGCCATTTCTGCCGATGACCGTCCGAACCTATTCGATGAACGTGTGTTGGGACTCTACTGACGGAAAGGACATTTTTTTGTGTTTCACTTCAATTCATTTCTGTCCTAATTACTACACTAGAGTTAGCAGCCACGACAAAGACCCGTGCTTTCCACGCCTTAAATATCTTTTGGATTCATTCGCTAAAATGTGCCACCCCTACAAGTGGTATCACTAACTTCTAAATTGATCCTACTATGTTCATTGTTACCTTTAGTCAAGGTAATATTATTTCTTATGAACAGTATTCGAGACATTGAAGCAACTCCGAAGTTCATCACAAAGCAGAATAAAAACATAGAATTATGCTTAGTTTCGCACCTTTGACGAAGGCCTTAATCTTCTCGGCGAGACTTTCGCTCGGGATTTCGTCTTTCCGAATGACAATAATGGCGGCAGGAAACTCGGGGTTCGGCATAACAGCCGCCTCGATGACGTCGGGGTGGAATGAGAGGCACTCCTCCATCTGGGGTAGTCCGGCCCAAACGTTATTCGCTGATACGGCGGCCTTCACTCGACCCAGTACGAACAGCCTGCCGTCCTCGTTGTAGTAGCCAAGGTCTCCTAATCCGACAGAGCATGTAAGGATATTCGCGATTCAGAACACAGAACCACAAAGGGTAAAAAAAATGACTTATTGCACCTAGCACGTAGTTCCGTGAGTCTCACCTTAGTCTGAGACACGCTTTTTGAATAGAGATTGACTAGTTACTGTGGTATCAATTGTGAAACTTTAGTCGGCATGATGCAAGACTGATATTATTTTTAGCCTTGTACTTAGGATTTCCGTGTCGCCGGTACCTGTATTACTTTTCATAACCAGAAACGTATATAGTAATTCATTTCGTTTCTTTTATTGAAATAGAAAACAAACTTCCTTTCGTACTTTTGCCTAAACTCCCATATTTTAGCAACTCTATTCTGCGCCATATTGATGGACTCTTACTTGCTAGGTGCTTGTGCACGTGCTGTGTGATGTGCCATTTTCGGTCTCTCTCCTCTCTATCCTTTCCTTTTTCAATCTCACCCATCCCGCTTCCACATGTAGGGTAGCAGACCAGTTAACCTCAACCTGCGGATCTCCCTACCTTTACTGCTATATAATGCTCTCTCTCTCTCTCTTTTTAGAATATTAGCACTACTGTTTTGCAACTAACGCGTGTCTCACTCAACCAAAGGCGTGGCTAGGGTGAGGTGGTGGTTTAGAAGTTTCAGCCCCCACCCCCATTTCCTTACCCTTAGCGAAGTTTCAGCCCCCCTTTCCTTAGTAGTCCTTAGCGTTAACTACTCATACAACATGATTTCTTGCACTGTCGACATAGTAGGAACAGCATATACTTATATATTCATAAAAATGTCTCGGGCCACCATCTAATGTGCCTTGAGAACGACGGCAGGAGCAAGAAAGCAAGCGCAACATGTCACATTTAAGCCCAAACGAAGTAGCTTCATCTCTGTGAGATTGTCCAATGCTTTAAAATACGCGCCACATAAACTCGGGCAAGCGGGGCTCATGTGTTTCAAGAGAAAAAAAATGAAGAAAAGGTGGTTACCTGGAGTGACCACCACCATGCCGGAAAGAGTTACCAAGGGACCACGCCTGTAGAGCGAGACGCTTCACGCATAGTTCTGCTCGATACATGGCCCACCAAAAGCTGTGTTATGTGGTTCCCAACTTTCAAGTAGCCGTTTTGCATAAAGATAACCTGTTGCCTAAACGCAAAGAACACACCGTGGTCCGCCAGCAGGTGCAAAGACCCACGCACGTCTGGTACGGTGAGTCAATACACTTACGGGACCGAACGTGCAGGTGCGCGGGTGTGTGCATGTTTGCGCACCTGTAAAAAAAAGAGTGCACGTGTGCGTGTGTTGTGTTCGCAAATGATATGGAGCCTACTTTTCTTTCTTGGACGTCCACGGCTCGGTGCCCGCGCCAGAAGAGTTTCCCCCAGTGGGCCCGCGAAAGCAACAGCCAAATATGGCACAGTTTCTAGCGCATGGTTAACAATAACCAGAAGAAAGAACATCGAACCATGCTGGTCCTGCCTTCTCATTCTCGTCGTTTTCGCCCGATATGTTATGGGCCACTTGGCCCGATCTCGACGATTCGAACTATCTGCCTTAAAAAGCCCCCCCCCCCCCCCCAGCTACTTTTTAAAATTAAAAAAAAACTGAGAGAGAGAGAGAAAGAGAGAGAGAGAAGAGTTATAATTTATTAAAAGGCAGAGTGCACATGGTCAGCGTGAGATAATGCGCTTTCACCTGCTACTCTGCGCACGGAACAGGGGACAGAGGAGAAACAAAAGGAGGGATGGAGGGTGATCACGGAGACAGGATGAGGTGGTGCGTGTGTACCAAGTTCAGAAATTTGTTTATTTCGCACCTTCACTACCATTGCCGTAGACGCTATCGGCTCATATGGCCGCCTATTTTCTTTATAAAACACGTTGGCAATTAATATAAGCACTAATCTTCGAGCCTGCATGCAAGGATTCTGTGCTTTTCGAATACACGCTGTCATCTGCACATGAGTAGTAGATCGATGGCGCACAGAACGAAGTGAAATCAATTGGTATAGCACGTGATGGTTATACTAGACAATGCGGAATGGGCGTACTAGTGCATGAAAAAAAGCAGCGTAGAAGAAAATTTGCAATGAATCATCCTTCATATGTGAACCAATGGAGAGCTTAGTTTCTCGTGACGTCACGTGAATAGACTACTGCGTCATCAATGCTGCCGAAAATGCGTGAAACATTTCGAAATGTAGAGCACGTTCGTTCTTTGCATTCCCAGTGGCTACTCTGAGAGCTAATAATAATTGTGTGGATTTGACGTCCCAAAACCATGACATGATTATGAGAGATGCCATCGAAGAGGGCTCCGCAGATTTCGACCTTATTGGACTCTGTAACCTGCACCTGAACCTAAGAGCACGGGCCAGCTGGCCTTTTAGCGTCCGTCAAAAGTGCACCCGCCGTGACCTGGATCTGATCCGGCGACCTGTGAGTCAGCAGTCGAGTGCTTCAACCACTAAACTACTGTGGCGGGTACTGCATGATTTATCGGTGCTGTTGCTGCATGCCATTGATGACCATTATGACTGTACGCTTTGTAAAGGGTACTTAGACCTTTAAACTACCTACTCACTGTGCCATTCGCAGCCCCGCCGCGGTGAGCTAGTGGCTAAGGTACTCGGCTGCTGACCCACTGCAGGTCGCGGGATCAAATCCCGGCTGCGGCGGCAGCATTTCCGATGGAGGCGGTAACGTTGTAGGCCCGTGTGCTCAGATTCGAGTGCACGTTAAAGAACCCCAGGTGGTCAAAATTTCCGCAGCCCTCCACTACGGCGTCTCTCATAATCAAATAGTGATTTTGGGACGTTAAACCCCACAATTCAATCATATCACTAAACTGTTACACGAGCACAGTAACCATTTAGGACAGCTGTTCGATGACCTCCGCACGTTACATTTACCTCAATTACGTAAGGATTAGAATTACGTAAGGATAAGAATTACATGCGTTGCGTAGTTGGTAGTTTTGCCGCACTACGAGCAAGTCTTGCAACAAAGCGTACGTACGTATTGTGGCGAAGCATTTCCGCGATGCAAGGAAGGGGAAAAGAAACTGCGGGCCAGAATGTAAGGAGCTTAACCATTAGGATTTAGCATTCTACAAATTTTTCTTAATATAGCTGTGACATAGTCACCCAACTATTCGTGGTTACCAGTGAAAATGTGAAGTAGAGGGTTCATTCTGCCTATAAAGATATGAAAAGGAGCCCATAAAAGAAAAAAAAAGGGGGGGGGGGCATTCTTAAATTTCGCGTTTAAGAGTTGAATGCGATAGTGATACCCTGTCCCTAGTGCGTACTTTAACCACCTTGTGCATGCTGTTTTAATTTCATAACGTCACACGAGAAGTTTATATTATGAATTACTGCAGTGTAATCTGTAAAGTTCAAATTGCCTTGTGTCAATGACGCTTTCGCACATGACTGCATTCCTTGCACTCTTGCTGTCCACGAGTCCTAGTGTTATGCGGTAGAGTGAAACCACGTGATGCTGGCCACCTGTGTGGATCGTCGCATGCTTTTTTTCTCGTTTGAGCCCTTTGAACGGCACATCATATGCGGGCGTGGTGACGCTACATGGTGTCCTGCCTTAAATACGTGAGAGCAGGAGGAACCTTGCTGCGTCTCACCTGCGTCTTTCGCAACTCTTGTTATACCATAACATACATGGCTGTCCTTGCTCTTTTATAGGTGTCAAGCAGGTTAAGCTCGGGGGGGGGTGTCCGTCCTTCTCTCACGTGTCCGCTCGCCCACTGCGCATGTATCAACTCTCCCCTCTCCTCCTCTTCCAGCCCAGGTGGTGTGAGGGATGCCTACGCTTCGTTTCTCCTTTCCCGTTCTTCTCTCTCCGTCACAGCTGTGTGCTCGTTCACAATGCGGCGTACGCTCGCTCCCGTTGCACTCTCCTTCACAATGGCACTGTGGACATCAACGTTAGCACCAGTTGTAGTAGCAGCATAGGTAACGCAAGCTGTGAAAGCATTAGCTTAAGCAGCGCCAGCAGCACCGCTGAGTAGAAGAGAGCTCGGGACACACCACGTAAACGGCAACGCTGGCAAGCGGATCCACAACTCCGAGCTCGCGAAGCTGAACGTAAACGGCAACGCTAGCAAGCGAATATCGAAGCTGCCAGGCAACGTAAAACCGAAGTGCGACGGAATCATCGAACTGCAGGCTTTCGAGGCTGCGAGGCAACGCGAAACGGAAACGCCCAGCCGAGGACTCGGAAACTGTGAGGCGACACCAAGCCGAAACGCAACGGAAACCCCGAGCCGCAAATCCGAAGCGAGTAGGTAACGCGAGGCTGCGGCCATGACATCGAGGCGTTCCAGGCAACTAGAATCATCTGTAACAGACAGAGTGAGCGCTCGATTCAAGCGAGACTTTCTCGAACGGCAGTTCGGATTCAGCGGCAGTGTGTGCGACCGACTTTGGGTCGACAACAACTCGAGCAGAGTCGGTAGCATCGAGAACGAAGAACATCGTAACGCCGCCGTTGGCGTGCTGCAAATAGAGTTTGCTCGCTGCCGTGACGCCTTGCGGTTGAACGTGGCACTCACGGCAACGAACCCAATGGAGGGGAACAACATAAGCGGTGCACAACGTATACACAACTTCGCACAGAAATGAAACATGCACGGAAGCATACAAATGCAAACAACAAATGGAAACACAAGTGAACACCAAGCACTGCTTTGCATCCCCACATGCCTTCCTTTAGTGGGAGGTGGTGTAATTTATTTCGTTTGTGTTTATTTCTATCTTTATCACTTTATCTGACTCTAAACTCTGAAGTGCTTCGCCCAAAAGAAAAGCTGCGTTAGCATGACTCGGTCTATACTGAGGGCTATAGAGTAACGCGGAAATCGTGGGTGATTGAAAGGGCCTAGTGGTGGATAGCGTGGTAAGCCGAATATACGCAACACCAGAGGAGGCTAGATGACAGAAAACGGGGTCCGACGAGCCAAACGGCTCATTGGATCCTGATGGTACGTTTAAGCGCTTAGAGCAACGACACTATAGGTCTTTCGCCATTTAGTCGGTTGCGTCACGGTGTAAAAAACCTTTAATATTATTCACCAAAACACATTGATATACCCATCCGCTTACCCGTGCGTATCCAGCCGTCATCAGTGGTGAAGCTCGCTGTTTCTTCCGGATTCTTATAGTATCCGACCATAATGTGAGGTGTGTGAAAGAGCACCTCCCCTTTCTGGTTATGTGAAAGGACCGCCCCAGACACTGGATCCACAACCTGGAAATGCGAAGGGTTTCCTTTAACCGCTAAATGACAGTGTTCTGTTAATCTTATTTCTCGTGGTAGCTCCAGTGTAGACCTTTTAAACCAACAGAGTGGACACCAGCGATGACGCTTTGCATGTATCCATTGCGTACACTTTTGCCTCTCAGTATATGCTGATTGGAAAAGGCACGATAGACGGTGGGGACGAGTGGTTCTGTTTCACCATCTTTCGAAAACATATCCAGGCAACGTTCAATCGAACGAAAGGCCTATATTTAACAGAAGACTTGGTTTTGGCTTACGCGTAGAGAAGAGTGAAACTGGGTTGGTTATTGCTGGCTTATATAAATTGCATGTTCCAAAGTTCTGAAGGACTATAAGAATTTGAAATTTGGAGTCTTATAAGCCTCGTGAGGGATCCAGTCAGTTTAATGCTCATTTATTCCCGAGAAAGGAAGTTGCAAAGGTCACCAGAAAACCAATGTGGTCGATGGGCCGATAACTTAAGCGTTAGCAAGCTAAACTTGCAATGTCGACCAAAATTAATCCTAAAGAAATGCCGATAACCACAAGGAATGGTACCCATGTAAGTGTTTCGATGCAGAACAAGCTCCCTTGTTAAAATGATGGTTTTATTGTTCTTTGCTGAGTGACTTAGTTTCCCTGCTCAAGCTTGCATCTTCCCTGATTTTTAGCCTTATTTGTAACATTAATTTAGGTATGGAAGTTGTGAGTTTCGAAACATCTTTGTAAGCGAAGTAGTATTTGTGAAGAGGAGAAAAAGAAAACAGGTGAAAAATGGTTGAGCTTTGCCAAGCAACGTAGTATTGTACATAATCAGGTGCGAGACGCATGCCAGGCAATGGTGTGTCGTTGATTAACCGTTCAATTCTGGAGTAAGCCATTGATAGTCTTGAACATGACACAAAAAATTGCGGAGTGCTTTGGAAAGCGGATAAAATCTATACGCCTTTGTCGTTTCCCCGCGATGCCCTCTGCCATCTTAACGAGGTATTGAAAGGGGTGGAGAGCAGGGGCGTAGTCAGGAATTTTTTTAGGGGGGGGGGGGCACTCCTTGATCTGAAGTGGGGGGCTGTGCAGGCAAATAGGTACTTTGCACTCTCTATGTCATGGCTGAAAGAATCACGGGGGAATGGTACGGTGCCGTTGCGCACCTGCTGGCTACGCTACTGATCTGGACAACCGGTATTTCCAGAACGAAAGTCTGCGAGTTGAAGAGACATTTCACAACATCTATGATGTGGGAACAGCGCGTGAAGGTGGACTGTCAAATAGGCCAGACTTGACATGGGTGGTGGGCCAAGTCCATTTTGGGAGTGAGCCAAAACAATTCCGAGAACGGTCTGACCCGAGCTTGAGCACGTGCGAAGTAAAATTTCACCCCAACGTTAACGACATGTTGTAAATATTCTCAATGATCAATATCATTAATTGCGATTCATATCCTGCAGCGTTGTTTACGCGACAAGGGAACCGACGTGTTCAACTACAGGACGCAAATCGATGCCGTAGGCGCTCTAAGCTCGGGCGCTCTGTGAGCTTGAAGACAGCCTGGCTAATGAGCGCTGGCTGTGGCTACACGAAACGTCCACTTCAGCCGATAGTTTTTTTTGGGGGGGGAGGAATGTGCTGCGCTAGCGTTTCCCGCAGCTTTTCCCCGGTGTAGACCTTGGCTCAGATTGAAGGTTAGATTCGTGCTTGCAGCCGTTTTCAATGTTTAAGTCATAAGGTCCTGAGCTATCATTATAAAAGGTTCACCTTCATTCGCGCTCCAGGTACGGGGAAGCCCACGTCGCCAGCCGTGATTTCGCCGCAGGGTGGCGCTGCGAGGTAGCCGCTTACTTCGGTCATGCCGTAGCAGCTTCGCAGCTCGGATGGTGCACACGCTGCCAGAATGGCTGACCTCGCCATTTCCGTCATCGGCGTTCCCAGGGTGGTGAACTTCTTCACGAGAGGGAAGGACTGGCCGAGTCTCTCGGCTTCGTGAACAATCTCCAGAATTTTCGTCGGCGTTCCGTGCACGAGGTTTACCTTAAATAAAGAAAAAAAAAAACCTCCCTTAGTATCCTGCGTGTTTGTAGATGAGACTTCAACGTAAGTGTAAGCCCAAAGGTGTGGACTTCTAACAGCTTTCAAGGTCCGCTGGTATGCAGAAAATTGTTGCTCGTTCAAGGGCTGAACAGTGCAGGCCACCAACGCGCACGCCATGCATGTTGGTGGGGTGCCGTTAGTTGGGCAAATATGTAATTCGCTTCCCTGCACTGCATATTCGCCCAACTAATGGTAGTACCTGCTGTCCATAAAGTGTAAATGAGGGCCTAGCTGCACATGAACGCATTTTCCTCGCCAGAGCGTAAGCAAACAACGCAACACGCTATTTACTACTTATGAGTTGGCTTTTCCGTTATGCAAAGCGCATTGCAGAAAAGCTAGCTTTACGTTCAGGAAAAGGGTCTATAAGGTTGACAAAAACGACTCAGGAAGTTACATGAATTCAGCAACAGAATAACGCATTATATCAATCAAAAGATCGTTTATCTGCCAATCTGAAACCGGGAGTCATTTTTGAAATCTCTTCTTTAGGCTTTGCAGTTGATGTTTAAATAGGCCAAAGTATGTCGAATTTATGGCCGCTCCCATAGGCTGTGTGGAAAAAATATTCAGATTATCTGGGAAGGAAGGCACTTATTGGCAAGTTATTGAATTTATGCCTTAAATAGTCTGGTGGTTGCCTAGTTTAATAAACTGGTAGGCGTTTTTTATTATTGTGTCCAGTTTGGGAGATATGATTTTTTTTTTTGTGTGTGCGTGCGCCTGTCATCCAGTTACGACAGGGTGACCGGCCGCCGCCGAGAGATGGCGTGACATGTTATCTTTAGAATTTCTAGGGATGGCGAGTGCTATAGATGGAGGCGGCGCTCTCACTTCTGTGTATTAGTCCCGGGCATTCCCAAATTATGTGTTGGAAGGTAGCTCGCACATCCCTATATTCGAACTTGCGTACGTTTGAATATACGCCTGCCCGTACGGTCTTGGGGTTATGGGGCTCGACTGCTCACCCGAAGGTTGCGAGATCGTATCCCAGTCCTGCTGGCCTTATTTCCGTGGAGGCGGAGTGCTTGAGGCCTGATTACTTCAATTTACGCGCATGTTAAATAACGCCGGATAATTAAAATTGAGGGAATGCTCCGTTTTTGCATCCCGCGTAGTCTCATAGTGGTTGTAGGACCCGAAATCCCAACAGATATTACGAATATTTGAATATGTAACTTTTGTAATTTCAAGCTGAGAAAACGAAAGAGAAGTGTTTCGGCGCTTTCACTGGGTCTGTGTAAAAAGCTGTCCGAATTGTTTAAGTATTGTGAGGAGAATACTGCAAAGAAAATTTCTTTGCCATATGTAATGAATCGAAGACTCGATAGAGCGTTAGCGAAAAATAATTACAAAGTTCATTTCCGTGTTGCCTTTGAGATATATATATATAAAACGCCACCCTCAAATTTGAGTTTTTGGGCAACATCATCTCAAGCTTGTACTTCACTCAACTTCGTTTTCTTTGTGCAAACAAATATGATAGGAACGCATATGACGACAATCATTACATTATGGAGAAATGCGACTCTCGGGGTTTTATATCCTTAAGGTTAAACGTAGTGCAACCACGCAAAACTAAGAACGCATACGTGAATTAAACTATTCAAAGGCAAAATACATCACAATGTTTTCGTTGCCACGATTCACCACTTTACAGTTTCGTGGGATGTGGAATAAACTAAAATAGAAAGAAAGGCGTGATAGATTTCAAAAAGTTATGAACCACCTTTTTTTTTTTCAAGTAATCATCGTGTGACTTCAGCATCAGAGTGTATCACGTCTCGAATCGATTGCAAGAAAGATTTCACCAATTTACTGAGAACGAGTGTTGTTACGTAGATTTTTACCATGAAGCCTATTTTTTCGCGAGTCCCGACGAGGCCGCTCAAGGCTACACTAGAAGACGGGACGCCGAGAACAGAACCTACGTCAGCACGCGGCATGACGTTGGGCAACGTCATCGAACCTTATCGCTCGTCCCGGGTTTATCCTAGTGCGCGAACGTGTGGCTATACTGTGCAATTTCAGCAGACTATGAAGCACGGCACTGGTACGTGGTGACACCCGGTGCGAAGAAGTGTCTCTCATCCAAACACTACTCCTAATTTATGTCAGTCAACAGCATCACTATGTTGCTCGATGGCATTACGGCTGACTTACCGCCTACCGATGGTGGGAAGGAGTATTTTTATGAAGATAGGTAACTTGAGAATGGCAACTCTGCCTTCCGCTTGTAAACTCCGTTTCGCGCAGGACCACACAATTTGGCTGAACTGTTCACAGTAGTGCATGTACTTCACAGAATTTGTTTTACACCAAGGCTGATGGGAAGTTCAAAGCTCTTTTAAATGTCCGGAAAGGGACATGCGCCCAATAGTGGCAGCATTGGCAGGCATGCGAGCTTATGATGCAGTTGGCGTGCGATTCATTAGGCTGGTTTGACAGGGCATGCTTTGAACACACGAATATTTTGCGTTCTGCCTATAGCTTGCAAATTATCAGTTATTACCATTGCTACTATGACAAACAAGCCTTCATATGACAACATATTATGACAAAACAGTGTCTTTTTCTTTTTCTTTTTTTGGCTGCGGTTGAACTAGTTAAGCTTACTACATAATTAAAAAAAAGCAGTGCGCTTCACCTGGTGATCTCGCAATGCTGCGAAGACGTCGGGAACAGGACTGTATTTGTCGAGTAGCACAATGGTGCCTCCAATCGAGATGATGAAAAAGACGTACGTAAAGCAAACGTAAAAGGAGATGTTGCCACCTCCAATGCACACGTCTTCAGGTGTCGCCAGCTGAAACTTTCTGCAAGGATGAGACAATGATTAGTCAGGTGCGCATTTACGAAACACATCATTTCACAAAAAAAAAATGAATTAATGTTCTAGTCGCGGCTTAGCGGGAAACCATTCGTTTTAAAGTGCGCACTGCAATTTAAAACTGTGTCGTTTATTATTTTCATGTTATCATTAACCGAGGTGAGTCGCTTAACCTTGAGGCCCTCGCCTGCATACTAATAAACATAAATCTTTGTATTTTGAAATAATAATGAACTGAAACGGGATCGGAAGCTGCATGTGGCACCAGCGGGCGAGTTCATTCACTCGAGGCTGTTCTTTCAGCATAAATAGTTCTACTGTGTTGTTGAAAATGCATATGCAAGAAGAGTAAAATAACAGACCTTTTTTCTTTGGCTGCTGCATACCCAAGCACCCTAATAATAAAATAATATATGATCCCCCCCTCCCACAATATTTCAAATGGGCTGTAGTATGAAAATGGAAGCGCCAGTCTAACCTATATACATTTTCCCAAATGGTAGCGATATAAGGCATACCAAATCGAAATGTATAACAAACACCAGTACGATGCTTGGCGGAACACTCCTTTTTACGCGAAAGACCTGTCAACTTTCCATCTTCAGCGGCGCATGCTCTTCCAACCTTGCTGCGGGTGGAGAACACTACGTCAGCGTTGAAACCTCTTGCGATTTTGTTTTTGAGTCTGTCCGATAAACCATTACCATGACGATTGACTGTGAAAGTTCAGCGCTTGTCCTGCGTCCTCTTCTCTTTGGGCTTCGTCTTTTGCGCTGGTTTCTTACGTTTGAAGCTTAACCAATTCACCCAGTTTTGTGCGCGGTTGACATGCTAGTGTATACTGGTAGTGTTCCCAAGAGAGTTTACAAAATGCTCTGTAAAGATCGCTCCTCCAGCTTGTACTGTGACTGCGGTGTGAGTAGCGCGCAAACGTGACATTTTTTGATGTTTTGTTCCGGCGATTTTTTTTTCGGAAGGTGCTCTTGCACATTGAAACTTTTCACTCGGTAAGGGAGAGGCCTGAAAGCTGTGTACCAACCCACGCAGGTTGCCATTTTACCTTAAGCTATCTACTTAGTCTGTCTTGTAGAAAATAAAAATGAAATCAACGTGGACTCACTCTCGGCAGGAAATTTGAGACAGGAACGTTGCCTCTGTGATTTCGATAATTTTCGAGATGCCAGTTGTTCCTGTGGAGTGGCAAACAAACTTGACACCGACTTGGTTATTCGGAAATTCTGCGTGCTTCAGCTTTCCGTCATTCGCAAAATTTGCGACGTTGATATATCCGGGCACGTTCGTTAAAGAGAACCGTGACTGAAAAAGAAACAAGAAAGGCAATTTCGATATGCAATGTTGTTATTTACTTTTCTTCCATAAGATTTCACAGAACATAAGAAATGATGGTGCCAGGGACATAAGGCGTCGTGGCGTGTCAAAGAAGCACCACCCAGGCACAGCCGGTACCACCCACTCGAGACATCGTTCGCACCTCATAAGATCGACTCGCTGCGTGGCCAAGACATACCATAGACCGTGCAACAGTCAATGCCGCCTTTTATAGGTGATTTTGCAGATGGACCTTCAATGTCGCAGCGTGGCCGACTGTGAGGAAGCAGGAGCGCTGCTCGAGCACTAGCGCGAGCTCAGCTAGTTCAAAGCAGAAAACAAAGGGGAGGTCAGAAATAAAACAACCGGCCTAGCATACGGGCGTTGTGTCTGATTTCTTCAGGATAATAGTGCAGCTGGATTTCTCTGTATTGGTCTCTCTTGTTAGAAATTGTTTAGAAACTGGAGAATTTTACTGCGATCGGGATGCCAGTCAACAGTATTGATTAATGTCACTTTAGTTATTGAGAGTGTTCACAGGCGAAAATAACGGAAATCTTTTTTAACATGATTTTTTCTCTAAGAAGGGCTCTGGCGTGATTTGCACGGTGGCTAATAAAAAAAACAATTTTACGAACAACTCCGATTTCGGTGTTCAATACATGTCGAAATATAAGTGCTTTTTGATGCTGTAGGCGAGTATGCTGTAAGCTTGTGTGCTTAGATGTGAGTGCACGTTAAAAAACCCCAGGTGGTCGGAATTTCAGGAGCCCTCCATTATGGCGTATCACATAAATGTATGGTGGTTTTGGGACGTTAAACCCTACAAATCAATCAATCAATCAATCAATCAATCAATCAATCAATCAATCAATCAGTCAGTCAGTCAGTCAGTCAATCAATCAATAATCAATCAATCAATAAATCGGGTGCTCTCATAGAAGGGACGTAGGCTGATTCGAATGCATTTTAATGCACGCAAGATGTATACTTATAGCCGAGCTTGTATCGTAAGCAGTAGTTTGTTCTGTGTCTCTATAATTCAGCGAGAGCAAAATTAAATGTAAATCAAAATCATCTTTGACAGCAAAATACACTCAATTACGTAAGCTGTTTTAGTCAAGTGAGCAGCTATATTGCAGATAAATTTGACGCGTATGCTGAGAACGTGCTTAAAAGATGTATATTACTTACGAGGCCCTAGCAGAAACATTTAAAGTGTTCACGCTCATTAGCGCTACATATGGGAGTGGTCCTTACGCATCGCTTCTGTCTTGTATCAGATGTACCACTAGGAGACAACCATAAACGTGTGTTCTCTGTACTTATTCCTTAATTGCCTTTAACGATTTTGATGGAGATAGTGTGCGTGTATGTTTTGCAAGTGCGTACTGCAAAACAACTGCACTTTTTAGTGATTTCAATCGTTGTCTAATACGCAATTGAAGCGGGAGAAAAAAACCCTCGCCTCAGGGGAAGGAGAGACCTTCGGTGCTTCCGGGGCTTCTTTATACGGCCGCTCTCACCACATGACAACGCACACGTACCACATCGCGCTGACAGTGGCGCCAGCTGTTCGATTGGTGGACTTCGTTACCAATGCAAAAAACGAAGGAAGATATCCCCAATGTCATCGAGTAGACACGAGGAAAATGCGAGTAATAGAAGAACCATCAAGCTTAGCTGGAGAAGCACTCTACATTGTCCACGAACAGAAAAAAAAAACACTTCACATCCGCCTTAACAAATTTTCAAAAGATGCGCTTTACATACATAGAACACGGAGTGCTGGCACGTTTCGGCCTTTCCGCATTCAAGTTTAGTACGTGCTACGTAAAATGTACAGCTATTAGACTAGAGCATCCTCTTTTAGACAAAAAATTATGAAAAAAACAAGGAGAAAGAAGTGTTGTTTCCCACGTGCCACGATGAAGCTTTCTCGTTGAAATTCGCATTTACTCTCCGAGTCGAAATTAAAACTGAGAGCAGAAATGCGTTTCCCTTCTCGATTCAGCAGCACCAGCAGAGTCGTCATCGCCAGGTTTCTACGCGTCGCAAACGAAGCACGGGATGCACTCTGCTTCCGGTGCCGGGGTTTGGCACCTGTGACGGTGTACGCGTTTGAACGAAGAAAACACCATGGGCTCATTCCTTTGTTCGGCACAGTGTTAATGAAACCAGCAGGTAATGAATGCAAGGAAAGTATATGGGAAGGAAATTGTACTGTTTAAGCATGTTGTATGGCTGATAAAGATTATATTATGAGGGAGTAAAGTGAATTACCGAACCAGCGTACTTAAGATTACGCGCTGATTCTCTTACCAATTGAGCTTCGGGGGCGGTCATCCCCTTGTACACTTTGCGGGGTACGCGGAGTACGGAGCACTTTCTGTGGTTTCTGTGGTATCCACTTTGTGGGTCGTCTCCTTGTAAAGTTCGTGGGGAGGCAGCCGTCACTTGCACACATTGGGAAAACCCTGGGAGGGTTCGTGAGCGCAGCTCACACACATGACGGCCAATGTGGAATATCCTTTGTCGTGGCCCGTCTGAGCATCTACAATATGTGTAGCATTTCTCAGGGCGGTGATGTTCAATGTGTCGGGCTACTAGTTTCCCGGGGGTGGGTAAACGAGAAGGAAAAGCTCTAAATTATGCGTTAGCAAGCGGTTAACACGCAATATTCGAGCGAGCATGGTATTGAGGACGGGAGTCTGACCAGAATCCCACCACTGCCACCCGTTACGGAGCTGTTATGACTTCACCGTTATCGGCACCGAGGGACTCGGGAGGAAGACGCCAAGCATGGAGAGACTGATGAGGAAAACTGTACAGAGGTTTATTCTATATATTTACAAGCGAGCATTTCTCGCCACAAGGCGACCATCTAGACGAAGATATCGTCTTACATTAAGGCGATCTCGTCGAAGGCGCTCTCTCAGGAGCACACTGCTGCTTTTTGTCCCTTCACAGTCCCTAGAAGCCAAGCCTAAGGAAACGGGGAAAAAACATTTTTCGCCCAATCAGGTCGTCACTGTTGAGGGTCATTTTGCCGGCACCACCCCAACACGCACAAAAACACACATACAACCCAAAACAGGTAGCGTTCCGGCCACGCTGTTGCATCCGACGAATCATGCAGCCAGCAAACGGGATGTAACGAGTCCGTCATTTCACTGCTTGGGCTGACGACCCACACGGTCGAACGGTGGTTGCAGGCCAGGCAACTCTAATTACATGTGCTTGATCATCATGCGTTGTTTTAAGTGTCGGTGACTTATCAGCCAGAGACGCACAGCGTGGTGGTTCGTCTTCGGTGGGAAGCTCGGCGTCGCGGTTTCGGTGCACAACGGCGCCACGTGTCGCATTTCGGTGCCGGCACAAGCGAACAGCCGTGCTGCGTGGAGTAATTACAACAACGCGCCTCCGAATAGATGAAAAACAACCGGGAGTCTTCACGTTCCTCCTTATCGGTGGCTGCCTTTCTTCCTTCTGGGCGCCCGCGGGAAAGGTTGGCTCGCTGATCGCAACAATGGTCAGTCGCGCAAGTCTGCCCCCTCGCTTTGAAGTGTGGCAGCTTGGGCTAGTTGGTATGACATGACGATAGTTATAGCGCGAGAACAGAACGATGACACAGAGACAAGAAGGACAGGAAAGCCTGTCATCGTTCTGTTCTCGCGCTATAACTATCATCATGCCCCCTCACGGTCTTATTTGCTGTTTTTGTATACCTGATATAGCCATCCAACGCTTATACAGTTGCTTGAATCGCATCATAGGCACACAAAGCCATGCCGCGCACCAGGGTTGCCAGATACCGCCGAGCTATCTAACAAATGATCGTCCAAAAGAAGCGGGCCAAAATCAGTGCCACAGTTGCGGAAAATCTCGAGAGAAGTGGAAGTGCAATAAATTTTCTCTTTCTTGAAGATATTTTTATCTACATTAAAAGAGAATCTAAACAGGGCGACCCTTAAGCTTCACCTTCAAGTGTTGAACACCACAGCAATAATACGCGCGCGCTCTTATGCATGCACACACACACACACACGCACGCACACACACGCATGCACACTATACACACTCACACATGCACACACCCACACGCACACACGTACACACAGACGCACACAGGCACTCCCACAAGAGATCGCGCGCGTGTACACAGGATCACCCGCTTTGAAAGCTACATGAAAACGACGCCATCGGATAGCTTTGTTCGGCCCTTGGCCTGAAAATTGTGTTCTTTGTCGTTTTCTCCCTCTTTCAAGCAATTGGAAAACAATACGTTCGGACGTTTGAATGGTTATAAAAAACGAGATATATTTGTTGCTCCTGTGGTTGCAAAATATTTCCTTGCATCTAGACATGCCTTCTTCTGAAAGGCTGCTTGCAGTGCTGTAATGATAGCCAGCTTTGCTTGTTATTCTGTTGAGCTGGCTGCCCGGACCTGGCACCCCATTTATAGACGTTTTTTTTCCTTTTTGGTGTTTATTCCTGCTTGTGTAAGTCTTCGCAATTTTGTGTTTTTTTTTTACTTCAGTTATACCTCCTTTGTCTCTTCTTCTCTGTCCCTTCCCTCCTCCTGAAAGAGTGAGCAGGATGATAGTTATAGCGCGAGAACAAAACGACGACACAGAGACAAGAAGGCCACGAAGGACATGAGCGCTCGTGTCCTTCGTGTCGTTCTTGTCTATGTGTCGTCGTTTTGTTCTCGCGCTATAACTATCGTCATGCCATACCAACTAGCCCAAGCTGCTACTCTTCTACGTAAGCAGGAGTTGTGGCAGCTGCCAGCTTGCACTTCCCTCTTTTCTATGTGCCTATGGGCATCCGTGTATGCAAATAAATAAAGTATTAAATAAATAAATAAATATCAAAACAGATAATAAAATGAACAAATAAACCAGCCTTTTGTATCGCTGGTGTAACTATAGAATACAGAAAATGACCTATTTGATAACTGTTATGATGCTTCAATATATGGCAAAAAGTAGCACAGTTACCTTAAAATTTACAACAGTTGATAAGTTGTCGAATAGGTCGACATAAGCTTTTCCTGTGAGCAAGTGAGTCGCGTCCGTTCTTCTTGCGTGATCCAAAAGTTCCTCTGTGAAATAACATAGAGGAATCATGCTAAGGTTCAGTCATTGTTAGAAATATGTTCATGAGCACTTTCAAGAATTATAAGTGAATGAGTTCATGAGTAAATAGATGAAAACAATATGACCTCGTCGGACTCCTGAAATTTCAGTACGTAGACGAGATCATGCAACACAGGCACTGCGCATCAAAACAGGCAACTAAACAAATACATTTTTAAATCAATGGCAGAATGAGTAAAATGTAAGAGAATTGCCATTAGTTTTCTTAAGTAGTACATTTCAATGATATGTTGAGAAACGCACCTTTAAGGGAGATTTCATGGTAACGAGATCGACTGGTATTTAAAGCTTTGTGATGACGTGCTGCATGTGAAAATTAGGGTCCAGATTATGGATATTTATTTACACCAACATGCAGAGGTATCCTTTTGAAGTGTTTGGTTACCGCAATTTAGGATGCAATATCGTGCGTGCTTTATTTCAAAAGCTAGACTTTTCCAAAGGGAACAAATATTAGTAAATAAACCTAGCTTTCATTACTCAGTGTCATTTGATTTAAAAATCGTTTAAAAGAACCACAAAAATATTTCGTTAAATACTTTAAATGGCACAAAAATTGATCTTGAATGCAGAAATAGATTACTTAAGAGAAGTTGAAATTTCAGCTAAATGAAGACAGATGATCCAACGATGGTACCAACAGTGAGGATTCAATACCTTCGAAATGTAAGCTTCATGTGCGATACCTTTCAAGCCGATGCTATGTTGATAATTTGCAGAGGATATGCGGATGAATACACAAATCAATCCCGTTGGTGGTCCCGGCCACCACATTTTGTGGCAGTAGCCCTTCCACAGCGCCTATGATGCGCTTTCTAACAGTTTTTGAAGTGCGAGCCCCATTCGCGAGCAGTGCGCACCCACTGGACAGCAACATCCGAGGAACTGTCCACCTGCCTGCACTTCACACGATTTACCTTCGTTAAATGTGACGTCCGAAGTGACCAGTGTGGCACCAGTGAGTGGAATACTGCAGGCGGCGACAAAACTGTCGATGCCATTCTCCACGTGCACTAGGACCCGGTCTCCCGTACCAATGCCGTGCGAGTGAAATCCGCTGGCCATGACCTTCAGCCTTTCCAGAAACTCCGAGTGACTCACTTTGTCTTGTCCATGTACCTGCGTAAATATGTCGAAGTAACGATGAGTGACTCCAGATCTGCGTCCCGTCCAATGCCCTAGAAAGGAAATATGTTCCAGGTAGAAAGATATAGAAAATTGTCGTGTGATGTCATGAGGAGGCGTTTGCCTATGAGTACTTGAATGTGGAAGCCATAGTTTTCTTTTCCTCTTGCTCATTATCTTTAGTTTGGTTCTGGCTATCCCACCCAATACCCTCCTCGTGCCTTCCCCGCTCTTCTTTGTCTAACAAGACCCTGCATTAGGCGTTAGAAGGGTTTGGCACTCCACATGACTTTGCACTACCTCCGAGATCGGAGATGTGAGCAGCGTTCTGCAATCCGCGTGGTTTTGCGTTGCCTCTGAGATCGAAGGTGTTTGGAGTGTTCGGCACTTCACGTGGTTTTGCACTGCCTCTGAGATTAGCCTGCCTTCGACTAACTGAGAATGTTGCGTAGTGACGTCATTTTTTTACGACAGAGCAAGCGACGTGAAGTCACGGCGATGCGATGACATATCTTGCGTCACTTGGTGTTATGTCGAAGCCGCCAACAGTAACTCTTTGGATTTCTTGAGCCATCTAAAGCTTGCGTTTATAAGCTCTCGCGTGTAGCAAGTCTGATCATGGACTTCCATAGACAAAGGTGTGCATCGAAATAAGGGCATCTTTGGCTGTTTTTTTTTCTGTGCTCGAGCGGCGCCATGCGTTCATTTGGGTACTGTGCACGCGTGCGGTGTCGCACGTTCGGCCGGGCTGGCCTCGACACGAGTGCACGCCACCACGCCGCTGTGGCGACGAACGGTGGAGTGTGGTGCAATCTTATCGGCCCGTGCAAGCTCTGCATACGTCGCGGTGACCTTTCACAAGTGCCGGCGTAATTTACAGCTGCCGCTATCGCAGAACACTGTCGGACGGCAGAGAAAAGTTGCGTGAGCTTACATCCTCCGGTCGTGCTCGCACAAAGCTACGTTAGCTGCCAGGATGTCACTGGACACCAAATCCGATGCGAAAACTACCGTAACCCTCGTCGAGACAGCAGAAAACTGATTCAGCACCACCGCCTGGAGAACAGACGCGCATCCATGGACACGTAGTGTCACGCAAGCGTCTCTCATTGCTTGGTTTTCTGTCATTCGCGCATTAATTTCCAATACAAACAGGACGGTGAAAATTGTCATCTGCTGAGTGGCTTCTCCCTACAGACGATGCCACAGTCGCGCATTTGAGTTTTGTAGCTCACACGCTTGCCTGTCTCATAGCCAGGCGAGAAACTCGGGCGATATTTGACGCAACTTCCCTTCCACCGCCGTGGTGTGAGCGAAACTCAGTCGAAGATGCCATAATTAGAATAACAGCTCATTGCTATGATTAAACAAAATAAGCAGAACCAGGTGATATTTACAATCTTTCCAGTTCAATCTTGAATGAATTAAAAACATTTATCTCAGAAGCATATACATGAAACAAATAGTTGACTCGTATTAACTGGTTCATAAACGACGCATCCAGGTGGTGGGAAAATTAACGTCAATAATGTACAAGAACGATGAATCATAAGTCCCTCAATGGGTCCTGCAACTATATATAAGCCTAGTAAAAAAACACTGCTGGTCCGTAGTCGAGGCTCACGGGAACACGCGAGCCAACTATTAAACCTCAGCACGTGGCTTGGAATTCACCAAAAATTTTTATGGTAGCTGAAAATTGCCTTTTTTTCCTTACACAAATGACGGTAAAAGCTCAAAAATTACTCATCACGGTCATTGCATTAGCCATTGGCTGATTTAAGTGTGCCGCGCTCGGCCGTTGCTGCAGGGCCGCCACGGGAAGCAGTGACAAGTCGACGCCTGCACGCGTGATCGCAACGAAGAGCTGCGAAAACCAAGAAATAAAAAAACGAGGAAAAATTCTCAAGGTCACGAGGTGCGCGTGACGTGTTTTCTTTCCCCATGCCATCCCTTCGTGCTTCTACTTGCAGCGCTCTCGTCTGGATGAGAGAAGACAGAAAGTGATTGCAGCGCGCGAGAAATCTATGTAACTCCGCTCATATTGGATGATGATGATGATGAAAAACATTTATTACAAAAGAGAGAGGTACGGGGCCAAAGCATGACCCTGCTACATGGTCGGCGTCCTTAGTCCGGGACACCGCATGACGAGGCCCCTACTCGCGCCCGTCTCACCAGAGCCCGTTGAGACTCTAGTGATGAGCAGTTGAGGAGGGCAGTCTCCCATGCCTCTCGGGAAGGGGTAGGGGAAGGGGGTAGGTGGGGATTTTTCGTACATGCCCATACCATGTGGAAGATATCACACGTCTCCCCACAGTGTGGGCACTGCCCATCTGTGTTCGCATCGAAATGCTTTAGGATTGCAGGACAAAGTAGAGTACCTGTCTGCAGGCGCCTTAGAGTTCGCTCTTCCGCCTTACTCAGCCCCTTTGCCGGAGCCGGGTAAAGACGGTGAGTGTCACGATAATAGGTGAGAATTTCTTTGAACCGCAGCAGCGGTGTATTGGCCTCCGAGTCATAAGAGCCAAGGTGAGGAGCCCGGTGGGTAAGCGCTCGGGCGGCCGCGTCAGCGGCCTCATTACCTCGTAGGCCCTGATGGCCAGGAGCCCATACGATGCGTTTCGGGGCCGGATCAGCGAGAGCCCGTTTTAGAATTTGGCTGGCTAGGGGGGATATCTCTCCTACCAAGTAATGAGTACATGCTTTCCTGGAGTCCGTGATGATAACTTTCGAGTTGGGGTCCGCAGCAGCAAGCGCTATCGCGACTTCCTCAGCGCGCTCTGGATTTTGTGCTCGGAACGAGAGCCCATTGACATGCTTTTCCCGGTGAACTACAGAGACCGTGTAAAATCCCGTGGGCGAAGGCCCTGCTATATCTACGTAGAATACACCAGGTCGGGAGCCGTGTTGCCTCTCAAGCGTCCGAGTCCGCGCCTGTCTTCTGCTTTCGTGCGTGTGCTTATCCATGTTACTGGGGAGTGGAGCGACCGAGAGCATATGCCGCCACAGTTCCGGAATACGCTCCGCCTCCTCTGCAGTGCAAGTGTGTTGTATATGTAAGCGGTTTAGCAGGCGGCGCCCGGGAGCCGTCTGCACGAGCCGCGTATATTGATTCATAAGGTGGGCCTCCCGCAACTCCTGGTAGGAGTTGAACACACCTAACGCCTTCAGTTTGGCGTTGGAAGTGGCCACCGGGAGATCCAGAGCTCGTTTAGTAGCCTTACGAATGATGGCATCTATTCTTTCGTCTTCTTGCTTGTTAGTGCGAAGGTATGGGACGGCGTAGAGGATCCGGCTAGTCACGAAGGCATGCGCGAGCCGAAGCGCGTCCCTGCCCCGCAGACCACCCCGCTTGTTGGAAACGCGGTGGATCATGCGCCCTACCTGTTCGCCTATTCTCTTGAGTTTCGCTATAGTGGAGTCCGGTCTGAGTCTGTGGTGAATGAACAGGCCCAGAATCCGGAGCTCCTCCACCTCTCTGATGGGAACCCCAGACAGGGAGATGTGTATGGCTGACTTATCTCTTGGCTTCGCTCTAACGTGCAGAAGCTCTGATTTGTTTGGAGCACATTGGAGTCCACAATCGTTGGCATACGCCTCGACTATGGATGCGGCCTGCTGAAGGCGTTCCTGCATTTCACCAAGGCTCCCTTCAGTGGTCCAGATTGTAATATCGTCGGCTTATACTGCGTGTTGTGTGCCTTCCACCCTGGCCAATTCGCTTGGAAGGCGCATCATAGCAATGTTGAAAAGGAGTGGTGACAACACTGCTCCCTGTGGGGTACCCCGTGTTCCCATCGTTAGACAATAAGCTTTTTTGGCGTATCTATCTATGGCTATTCGAAAAAAAAAGCAAAAGCGTTGCACGGCCCTTTTGAAGGAAGTTTACAATGCCTGGTATAGCGTACAAAAATTATTATAACAAGCCTTTATTTTAGCGTCGTTGCTGTTTGAATGACTCAACGACGTTTGGTTTCCCAACAAATTACACTGTACATAGTTGCAAAAATGTCGTATTTGTGTACTCCAGGCCTTCTGACGTACACTACACGTACGTAAACATTCCAGTCGGAAACATGATTTGAAGTATTTGGTTTCGAGACTGCCTTCAAACTAATATTGCTCTGCGTTAGTGTGACCTCAAAACACACTCTAGCCAGGATATTCTAACATCTCTTGATTGGTTATTATCCAGTGATAGCTGGTAATTACACAGTTGCATTTATCAGCCATTGAAAAAACAATGGGACTGCATCAGAAAATTTCTCGCACCAGGTTATTGCCTTATTTTTTAGTAAATGACAGATGCAAACGGTGCGGCGTCTGAAAATGCACAACGGTATTATAGGGTGCGCATCATGGTGACTTGACTTTTTTCCACAGTGAGTGGCCAGAAACCAGAAGATCGCTCAAATGTTTCTTAGCGGTGACATAGGCATGAGTCTAGTCACGAGGACGCTTATAGCTCGCTAACAAACCGCGAAAAGTTTTGGTGGTAGGTTCTTTCAGCCAATGTGTGCGACCGTACTGTGGCAACCTCTTGGGTACAATGCATTCAGCTTCACGCATGCGAGAGACAGTGCACAGCATGGGCTTTAAACACGCGAAGGCTGGTGAATATTGGAGGATGCTGAAGGTGCACTACGCAGGCCCACGAGGCGTCGCACGCTAGTACTCCGCGAAATGCAAAGCACTCAGCTGCGTTGTGACAGCATCAAATCACCGCCTACCTTAACCTCCGCTGCTCTAAGACTACCAAAATGCTCTTATGACGACGCTCATTCACGTAATCATCTGGCATCCGACATTTGGCGTTCGGCACTTTTGTGTTTGTTCTTTGGCTTCTGCTCGTCTTCACTTTAGTTACGTCATTTGCATGACGGAAGCGACATCATTAAAGTCTAGCTGAACGCTCCCACGAAACTTTCATTTTAACAAGAAAAAAGAGATTAGGCCCATGTAGACACCCGTGGTTATACCAAACTTGCCAA